GAACAAATCAGTAAGGTGGTGAATGAAAGGGGTGGAGGTGGTACCGAATGTACGCTAGCATGTTTCAGTGTGAAAAGAAATGGAAACAACTGAAAAAAAACGACCGGGCTGTCGTAGCCAGCGGTCGCCGATAAACTACGAGGCAGACGGGACGCAGGACGCGTGACTGTAAAGACAGGCGCGTTGAGATGAGAAATGATTACCAAGTAAGAGAATGCAAGCTAGAGCTCAGAGATCAACATTCACCAGTGTAGCGCGTAGTTGAGGGGGTAGAGGGGTTTTATGGTAACGAGAAGATTCTAGCCTGTTTTTTCTTGCGCCTTTTCTAGACAGGATGTTTGATTAACTTTGGATGCGACAGTTATACATCTTAGCCGGAGTTAATCTTAGTGAATATTATCCGCGGGAGCGTGCCTAAGCGACAGCCCTAGCCGCACCGATTGACTGCGTTGGAGAGGTACTCGTGCTTCCCCTTTCTCTCACAGGACAAAATATTGGAGTATTCAAACCTTCGGGATCCTATTCAGCCCAAATAAATTGGTTTATTATTACAATTACACATCTAATGCAAAGTCTTCACAGGCGATAGAGACGTAAAAAGTCGTTCGTATTACAGGCGGGGTGGGGAAAAAAGAAGTCACTTTGCCCATTATGGTACATCATCAAATTTTTCGCACAGAGTGTCGTTAGCTAATAAGTGTTTTACGGACAGATATATTCCTCGGGTGTCCCTCATAAGCAGAAGCAGTCCCCTTACTCCACTTGCCCTCAAGGCTTCAGCGAGTATAACGTCATCTGTCCAGTCGTCGTCAAGCTTAACGGTCTAACGTTAAGTTCGCGTGCGGCTGAAACCTGGCAAGCCTATATTCTTAACAATCGGTTAGCGAGTGATACAGCCTTCCGAAGACACTAGCGGTGACTGTGCAAGACCGTTTTGACCAGCGTTTCAGGGACGTCGTAATGGTCTATGTACTCGACGACCTGGTGAAGCTCGTAAGCTTGAACTACATTTCGTGGGGGAAAAAAATGTCTGATGTCGTCAGTGCTAGAATGAGTTGTCACACACCTCTTTGAATTAGACTTAATGTGCTCTTTAATATGCAATGTGGGCTAATTTGATTTGTTTACGCAGTTGAGATTTACTTGTGTTGTTGAATGTGGAGAGAAGTGACTCTTTTTTTGGACCCCCCCTGTTATAAACCGAAACCTTGTGAACATAAAAATTTGAAGGCGAGTTCATTGCAAAATGCTGACATCTGCACAAATTAGAAAAAATGAGTTAGTTTCTCGATAAGAATTACGTGGAGCACAAGTAAAAAGACTGGTAAATATGGAGTGGAAGGTATTGTGCCAAGTAGTTAGCATGTGAAGATAAACGAAGCAAATTGGTTGATTGGTGATTGCGTTTCACCCCGCTGGAGGTAGGAATATAATAAAGTTTAGAAAAATTCACATTCCTATATTTAGGCACTTCTCCTCCAAAGGTTACCCGTGGATGTTTGGTGGTCTGTTGAATATCACAAACTTGCCAAGAATTACAGTTTGCCGCATTGATCCTGTAAGGTTTCCGACGGTTGTTTTTGAGGAAAATTTCGTAACACCTGAAACAAGTGAGATTAAAGTGCTTACTTCCAACAGTAAAGGACCTGTTCACGTATGAACCAACTACCAGCGGGCAGAATCTTGTTTCGGGCCCATCGTAAAATTTGAGATTGATTTCTCGGAACCTCATCGTCTTTCAGCGTGAAGATGCGCGACGGTGGTTTTTCTTTCGTGAATAGTCCTCGTTAAGCGAACGGACGACAATGAAGTCAAATGTTAATTTGATACATTCGGCATTGGATACTCTATCGGCTGAAAAGGCATTAATTACATGTGAGTTGTAAAACAGACAGAGTTAGATATGAGTTTAGGCGATTTAGCACTTTACATTATTTTCTTCTATAAACTTTTCATGTCTGTTCTGCCGTGTTGAGGTCAAGGCTCCTTCACGCCATAAGACGTCTAAAGACATCCAGGAGACATCAAACACGCCAGCCACCCTGGATACAAGTTTGTAATAAAGAAGTTTAACAGAGTAACCTAATATGAAAAACTAACCTATTCCTTGTTTAAATGAAGGTCGTACGTTTGCGAGGTGCTTTCATATGCTTGATAACAGGGAGCAGGTTTTCAAGGCGCTTTCCCTATACTGAGTACAGGAGTAATACCTGTAAGGGTGATAAAGAAATCATGCCCACAAATAACTCTATTGCTTTAAGTACTTATTTTTGAAGACTAATAATCTTGATTTCTACCCATCAAGATTCCTAAGCAAAGATTGAGACGGAGGGAGAGTGAGGCTCCCGGTCACGCCCAGGGTCAACCCTATGTTGCGCAAAAAGACAACTAGGAGGTCACGCTTCCGCCGAACGAGGGGGTCAGCTTAAGAGGGACCAGGGTACAATAGGGGCGACAAGGCAGTTGTGCGGCAGTGCATTCACGCCGAATGTTCTCCAAAAGCTGCACCGTGAGCTGTACGGAAAGTCGCAACAGACAAGAGCTACCATGGGAGCATTAGAGCATAGCAGGGGATATAGAAGTCTCACTTATCACATTTATCCTTGATACCGACGGGCGATACACGTTTTTGCTCGACAGCATTGATCAAGATCACAATAGCCAAAAATTGTTAGAACGTAGTGCAAAAAAATGGTCTGTCTTCGATGATCGAACATTCCTGAAATGCCAAGCGAACAAAGTGATAGAGCAGTTTCGATGGAGAATGAAAAAATACACATAATAAATACATAGTATACAGTACAATGCAACAATCACATACTAAACTCTTCAGGAAAATGGCAGGATTTTCAAATGCTGGTGCGACTTTTATCACATACAGGTGCACGGCGTCACCGAGCAGGCGTCTTCCACGAAAACGCCTTGTCAGGCAATAAGCAGACAAACTCCTCAAAAAAATTTGTATGCTTTTTAAATCAATCTAAGCGAACAAAATGTAGCGAACTTGCTGAATTGAATTTCAAAGACCCCTTATGAAATTGAAGCAGAAGAAGAATTCCTGAAAAGTTAACGCTAGTAACAAAGTACTCTTCGCGTAGTTTTAACGGTCTTTACCGCTTCTCAATTATGAAGTTGAAGGAAGTTGGGTTGTTGATATTGCAATGTCGCGTTCAGTAAGAAAGGCTTGAAAAAGTCTATTGAAAAGAAACGAGACGACGGGACGATTTTTTGAATGAGTGATGTTTCAAAAAGTTTCAGCCCTTATTCGAGAGCAATAATCTTCTAGTTCATAATTAGCTTAGATATTCGAAAAAGTTGAATACGAAGGAGTTATAAATGTTTAATTGTCGGAAACTTCGCGCTGCTCTTCAGAAAATTCGGACCCCAACCCCCCCCAAACGGAACGACGGGACTCTTTTTTGAAAGAATGATCGCTGGAAAATTTTCAGGTGATTGTTTGAAAGCGCTAATCTTCTAGTTTCTAATCAGCCTTAGACATTTGCAAAGTTAATTATGAAGAAAGTTATGAATTTTTGAATGTCGAAAACTCGCGTGCACAAAAAACGGAACGACGGGACGATTTTTTTAAATGTTGGACATCCGCAACATTTCAAATGTTACAAGAAAACTATTTGTACTTTTAAAATTCTGGTGTCTGGTTCCATGAAAACGCCTGTGGGCGAAGATATAAGCTTTCAATGAAGGCGCCCGTAACTATTGGAGATTTAGATTTTCCAGCTTCTACAAGAAAGACGGTTGGACGTTGACGTAAATCTTGGCACATACCTGAAATAAGGAACCACTAGGGACATAACGGTACCTAGGTTTAGAAAAAATCCTCTCAATTCCTCTAATAAAACTTTTGATGATATTTCATTTTGCCTCAAATCCGCGTCCCAAGGGAGTGGAAAACGCGCTCCACGCTACCTTGCGCCGCGGTGAGGGCGCGAATTCCTACATTCAAACTTTACTCTTCGGTTTCCTGCCTTATTTATTTCTGTTAAAGAATATTTCTGTTCTCTTTCTGTTAGGGAACCCTTCCGTACTGCTTTAGCTAAAGACCTTTCAAGCAGTACGGAAGGGTTCCCGGCGCTACTGCATTATTACAACCTCAGTAGGGGGTGTCAAAAGTTTTTTTTCGCTGGAACTTCGTCTATTGGGGTTATCGGAGGTCCTGATCACGAATATTGGATCCATTTTTACGTTGATACACACAGAAATACACCGTAACACTAAAAAACACACATGTCCAATGGGAGGGGGGTCGCACTGACACCCCTTGAAATGGAGGGGGTCGCAAAAAATTTGGAAGTTGCGCAACGCAGGGTTGACCCTGCCCACGCCCTCAATTTTTACTCACGTTTTAACACGTTGACGACATCGCGCGTTTTGGGTTTTTGCACCGCGTGGGACATGGGCGCTTTCGTGAGCGCGCCCGCCACACCTCACACCCGTAAATTTCGAGCGATAACCTTGGCAAGCTTCAAGGGTGCGAAACCTCAGCAATGTTCAATGCGTAGAAGGTAATCGAGGATATAGTAGCGAAATTCCGATCAAAAAACGTGAAATGGTAAAGAAAATTGGGATCCGAATCCTGTTTCCTGTAGTGGATGCCAATTCTATTTTCGATGTGGATGTCAAGTTGAACATGTATCTTCCTATCCCTTCTAGTTTGCATTTACTTTCACTACCTTTTCTCTCTGACATGTTCATCAGAATAGGAAGGAGACGAGGGATGAACGAGCTGCCAATTCCGCTGTGCTTGAAAAACCTGCTAAACTGGAGCATATTTGAACATACCGTGACCCATGTCGTTTCCATTTATGCTATGTTTAATCCACAGAACAGAGACAAGCAAATCGGGAGGAATTCCCCATACGCTAAAAAGGGGATGACAAGAGTGAGACGCGTTACCGCGTCTCAATGTCGTCAATGTGTTAAACAAGGATGTATTGCGCAATGGTTTGAGGCACGCGAATTAAAAACAAAAAGAAGTAATTTTAAACGATCCCCGCTGAGTACTTACACGAAGCCTCTTCGTTGATCTCAGGATAGATCGACTCCGCAGCTAGCATTCCACTTTTCATGGCATTTTGGACTCCTTTTAACTTTGCAACATTCAACAAACTAGCAGTACATCCAACAAGACAACCACCTGAAAATCAAAACTGAACATCAAACAGAGATATTGTAAGTGATACTTTGTGACGAAGAAAGAAAGGGCCTAAATGTCACCTCAACTCCTGCTGTAGCACTTCTGAAATGTTAATGGGAAGGAGTTTGAAAACTAACCAGGAAACGTTACTTTCGGTACAGTCTGGAATCCTCCTTCATTGTGAGCGTGTGCACCATATCCCAGTCGTTTACCTCCTTCGAGTTGTTTTCGAATCGATGGATGAGTTTTCCACCTTTGGAACTCCTAATCAAACTTTCTTTTTGTGAGAAAATAATTCAAGACCAAAGTGCAAGTGGTGGTAGATGGCAATGCCAGAGATGATCAAGTTCAGACGAATCGTCATACAGATGTACCTGGAAGGGATTCAAATAGGGGTTCTTGTAGTCCAAACCGACCACAAAGCCAACTTGCGCTAGCGGCCGTCCTTCGTCAGTGATATGGTATACAAATGAGCCGCCGTACTGATCCATCGTCTGTAAGACAAATCAAGCTCATTCACGATTTTGAATGTAACCCTAGTAACTGACATATTTGGTAAGAATGTTTCAATATCAACTAACAAACTTCGAATTAATCAGTAAACTTTGAGAGAAAAAAATGTTAGGTTCAGTCTGAGACTGAATAAAAACAACGGAAATATCGAAATAATTTGCAAAAGGATTGAAACCGTTCATAAGTTGTGAACTTCGATTACTGGATGATGAGACAGGAATATCAACACACTTACCAGTGGCCAACCCATGGTGTGCTCTATATAGCCTGGCTTGTGTTGTGCTGGATCCAACTCCCACAGCTCTTTGAATCCAATTCCAAAGGACATGGGATGGTTAACCAACTTAAACTTCTCCAGAATCTATAATATGGTTGTGCTGGAAAACTGTTTGGATGCAAATGTACAAACGCTACACATAAGGCATTACCTACCTTCAGGAACAAGAGTGGATAAATTTACGTATTTCAATAATAGTCACAAAACACTTGGCTATGGATATGCGGATGGTCTCAAATAGAAGTCGAATTTTCCTACTCGTAACTTGAGACTCGTAACCCACTAGCACCCGACTGCTTTAAATTTCCATGGTATACCATGGAAATTCAGAGCAATCGGGTGGGGGTTCAAGTTGCCATTTTTCAAAGTAATGACACCGAAAACTTCAAACAAAAACTCGATGAAGATAAGAATGGCTTCAGTGGCATTGCTTATTTCGATAACTAACATGTTCGTAAAACCTGTGATAAGTTTATCAACACAGTTGATTCACTACACAGATTAACTAACCCATTTGAACTTGCTTACTCAGTGAATTCGACCCACCCACCCGAGGGTGTGGTTCGCTGGGGCCGGAAAGCGGCTTTTCCGCTATTTCACATTCGAAATTGTTTTGCTTCGAAAACTCCAGGCCCACTGCTGATCACTGGTGAACCTGAGGTCCCTGCAGCAAAAAGAGTTACGCGCTGCTAAGGCGAAAAAGTCATTTTCTGTCCTAGCAAACCACACCGCCACCCAACAAAGCCACATTTCATGGAAGAGACCCCTATAGAGTAAACCAACCTCACTGCCAAGCTAACCCAGGTGAGTTAGAAAAATTACGTGACAAAATTGACCAGATTTATAGAAAAAAAAACTACTAAAAGCAGGAATATGCCAAGACCATAATAGATATTACCCATCTACAAGGTTTGAGGTGCTAACTTAATTGGGGGTACCACGCGGAGGCGCGGCGCTTTGCTCGCCTAGCATCTTTGCGTAATTCGGGAAATCCGTGAGCCAGGGGGACTGCAGGCAGTCTGGCGGGGTGGGGGTGAGGGCAGTCACTTGACATGCGTGAAAAGCTGAAATGTTCGAGCTCACACTATCTCGCGCGAGAGAGCGCCAGGCGAGCAAAGCGCCGTGCCGCCGCGTGGTCTTCCCAACTAAGTTAGCACCTGTTTGAGCTTCTGAGCAGATTTCTAGAACCTCTGTGCTTTGTTTGATTCACAAAGGACGGTACAATGCTGAAATGCGGTACCAAATAAGGCGTACCTGCTTGGTGAGATGACCACGACATCCTTCCGCAAATATAGTGCACTTGCCCATGCCATTATCCATCCGTTCGAGCAAAACTTTCCTATAAGGAAAACTCGAGAGGTAAGAAAAGGATTCGAAGAACAATGATGACCGTCGGAGAGAGCCAATTTTAGCGACACCAACATCGTTTGTAGCTATTCTTTTACGTTCGTCCTTCGTTGTACAGTTACCTTGAACAATAAATGTTTTCTTTCAAGTTGCCCAACAAACTTTTATATAGGAGAAACTCCGAAGTCAGCAACGCCAGGCCAGATTTCAACACCTGCAGCTGCTGCTTGTTCAACCTAAACATCTCACCACATGCCAAACGAACAATATAATTCCTAGATAAAAGAATAAGGTAAATTAGCCACCAAATAGAGTTAAATTCAATACGGTACCGTGATTGTATTAGGAGGCATGCGGGGAACGCGGGGATTGGGATTCGCCTGTTTTCGTTTAGAGCCAACGATTATGACGTAACATATATAATTTCACATCAACAATATAAGTTCACTCCATATGATTTATAGAGGCTGGGTTTGAACTGAAGAGATACCTGACTTTCTCAAAAAACTGGAGCGCCCATCTCTTTCCAGTTTTGGGAACAGTTCGTCGAGTGCCCTTGTTCATCCACACCTCCTGCGATGATAATGAGCACTTACTGTCCGGAGCCTTTATTATTACAAACTCTCACATCTGCAAAGGCAATAGAAAATAACAAAGTGTCGCCGAGCTAAACTATGCCATAATGGGAAAAAGAGTTTTTTCTAATACGAACCTTTCATCCTTTTGAGCAAGCTGCTTCAGTCTAGTATCGGTCCTCCTCCAACTATCAATAGATCTACTGATCGCTTTTCTCGCGACATATCATGTCTTTCATCGCGGATCCTTAGCCCTATCCTGTGAAGAGTAACAAATGGAGAATATTTTCTTCCGAATATGGAACATGGTCATGGAAGGACTTTGCACACCTTTGTTCTGTGTCACAATGTCAAGAAGTTGGTGTCGCAAACTGCTCAGCAGAAAATGCCAAGATGAAGGCATGGCGGGGTCCTGGTGGTGATGGTACTGCACGCTGGGTGTTATAGGCACAGGTGTCCTTCCTACCTAATGTGAGTAATCAAAGTAATGCATAAACAACATGTTTCATCTATTCGAAAGCAGCCGTGGACAACTGGAAGAGCAGTTGTGAAGCACTGAACTCCAAACCATAAAGTCCGTAAGTGCCAAAGCGAGAACTCCGCATATGTCTAACATTAACTGAGCATGAGGAGACCTTTACTTGTTCAGCAATGGCAAAAACATTGGACACAATAGTTCACTTCTTTAAAAGTTCTTCAAATTCATTTCGAAATTAACATCTATTCAACAGCGAAACATTCTCTCACGCCGTGGCAACGCGATAAAGTCGCTTTCTGTCCTAGTGAACCACAAACGGGAAGGCAGAGGGTGAAGCTCGGGTTTCGGGAGGGCGGCACGCGATGAGGCGGCGCGCTCTGTTCGTCTGATCTTCAGAGCTTAGTCCACAGGGCACAGTTACTCTTTTCGCCACTATGTGGCTACTTCATACGCCGCCATCGAGTGACTAGGCCTTGGTAGAGCAGACCGAAAACAGCGTCGCGCCATCGCATGCCCCCTCCCCCGAAGCGAGTCTTACCGACGAGGATGGGCGAGTACATTGACATGCGTACAAAACGTGGAATGGGCAAAAATCACACGACCTCGCTGAAAGGACGCAAAATGCTATGCGCACCTCCCTGGGACGCATCGTTTGTACGCCTCTACTGACTAGTAAAGCGCCCATTCGTTACGGGTCCACTGCCTCCTGCTGCAGTGAACCCTTCAAGTTGGAGCGGGGAATCCGTGAGCAGGGCAGTGTCCCAGTCTAGGGGGGTGGGGGACCGTGAGCAGGTTCACTTGACATGCGTGAGAAGCTGGAATATCGAATCCAACCGCGATCGTTGGGACTCGCGGGTTAAGGCAGTGGGTCCCGCGACGAATGGGGTCTATACTAGTCAGTTAGGAGTACAAAATGATTAATCCCAACTCCATGGCGGCTATTCAATCCTTCCCCAGGGAGATTATATCCCCCTCTCATGATTCAATCCTCTATCTTGGGGGACAAAAAAGGTTGGCTCATAGGACCTCGCATACCTCTGTGTTTCTACCTGCCAGACAGTTAGGAGCAGCGCCACTACCCTCCACTGATGAAGCACTCTTTCCGCTGAGGGGTCGCGCTGCTCTGACTGTCTGGCAGGTAGAAACACAGAAGGTATTGAGAGGTTCCTATGACGCAACTTTTTTGTCCCCCCAGAGGATTGAATCAGAGTAGGGGGATATATCCCCTGGGGGAAGGATTGAATACCGCCCCATTTTCTCTGCCACGAGTGGCTAGAGCATTAAAGAACGGCGCTTGGCTCGGCTTTAAATTCCAGGATGGTGAGGGTCCTAAGGATAAGCCTAGGAGTGGGAGAGACTCAGGGGTAGGTGTTAATAGTATGACAATGGTGTGAGTGTGTGCGATCAAAGTACCCTCCCCTTCAAAAAGCGAGGAAGTGTCGGCTGCAGACCATGTACTACAAATGACGACGGCCTTCACAAAATGTTAATGTTTTCTGCCAATGAAATGATTAGCCTGTTGCAGTTGTATTCTATCGAATGTCACTAATTACAACTATCATTTACCAGAAATCAGCTATCACTATGAACAACTTCTAACCAGATTACTTGGAGGCCGTCGTCAGATGTCATGTTTGGTCTGCACCCGACACTTTCTCGCCTCTTGAAGGGGAGGATAGTTGAAAGTCGCTGTTTAGGGTGAGAGGGAAAGAACGCAGATGAAAGCATTAATTGAGGAAGTTTGAGGGACCGGCTTCAAGTAGCCCGTAGACCGCGACGGCTAAAGCTTCCCTAGCACCTTTACACCGTCAACCTTAGTCGCTTTCTATCCTAGCGAACCAGCCCTATGTATGTATGTACATGAAATAGGGTGTTGAGATCGGAGAGGAATTTATCAAAGATTTAGTGGTCATAGCAAACGCAGATGTTGCCCATCATACATCGGATTTCCGGAAATACTTTCAGTTGCAATAGTTCACTTTTGCATAAGTCGCGTTTACACGAAATAAAATACAGTATCATTCAACGATGACAAACCTTAACGGTATAGTGGGTAGTCGTCCAATGCCCATTGACCACATGTCTGACTGGATTCGTCCACCGTAGCAACTGTATTGTGGATAGCCGCATTCTGATAAGGCACCTAAATTAAAGAACTATTCACACACTCACTACTGCGCCAAAATTGTCACGCGAAAGATGACAGACTCCGCCTTTGCTGTCACAACTGCATAATCGCGACACCAAACGCGGAGTCTAACACCTACCCAAATGTGAAAGCTCGCTAGGAGACGCAGAACAACTGGCAGCACAGTTCCGAGAGGAACAGAAAGGGGAGACAAACAGCAAAGAATCGAGAGCAGCGATCCTCCGTACTAATACACTTACTTTCTTCAGGTCTCATTCAAAGAGGGGGCACGGCGCGACACTTCATACTGCTCAAAATGATCCATTTTTTGCGCGGAAATCAAGCCCAGGGGTGGGTGTAGAAGCAGAAGCGAAACGATTAACACACCCCAGGGAGTTCCTTCCCTGAAAAAACTGGGATTTCTGGAGGCGACCTCCACTAGCCCTTCCCCGTACTGGATGAGACCCGAAGAAAATTCCAAATTCGAACAAGGTTCTAGTAAAAATGAAGCGTCTCACTGGGGAATTTGATGACATATTATTTCAGGGTATATCGCTGCTTTTAATGCTGTTGAGCTCGATTGAGCCTGAACTTCACATTTATTCATTCAAAGTGAAATATAATGGTGAGATAGTGGCCACTAGAGCAGCGTTGAAATACCTCAAGGTATGAGTCACAGGATGCGCACAGATGTGAAAAGTGCCTAATGCTGTCCTTGTCAAGAAGCTCGCACGTGACTGAGCCCCGCAGGACTTGGCAGTCACGAGACAAAGTACAGCACTCCCCCAAAACAACCGGGTCCCACCCACCAGTAAGAGCAGCGTTGACAGAAGCCGTTCTCACTTATTCATTTTCCACGAAACACGTTATAGTATTCCAGCGGCACTTCCAAATAGGTTTTAGAGCCCCTCATACTGTTTAACGTCACGTATATTGTTATGTCTGCAGTCACGACAGACCCAGCCGCGTGAAACGGAAAAACGTGGACAAACGAAACGTCGGTGAATCTTGAACATTTGTTTGGTCCTGTTTGTGCTTTCGCCGAAATAGCCCCACGACAGTTTGACTTTCCCCTGGCCGAAATCCAAGTTGACGTTCACGACTCAATAAATGGTATATCCCAGAAGGGTATATAGAGGGCTCACATGACCTGTTTCACCATGCGAGCCTCACCATTTCATCAGTCTCTTCTTATCACTGAATTTGGTGCCTCTCTTAAAGGATGAATTCACGATTAGAACGAAGGTCGAAGAAGAAGTAATTCACCTAGTTGAGGGACCCGCGGACCTCCTAAGCAAGCGCAATTGGCACCGAAGGAGTTGACCTGGGCGACCTATTAAGGCTCAATCTTGGTCACTCGGTCACTCGCCGCAGATCCATACATGGTGAATTTGGTTCGGTGAGAGAGCGTGGTGTTGAGGAGGGCACAGCGATGAGAGTCGCATCAATGCTCAAATCAACGGGAAAGGAAGGGGTCCCATTTCTCGGGTTCTGGGACGTTTCTCATGGTTTTTCCTTCTTGATTGTACCACTCACCATCGCTAGGTTAATTTGAAATGGGTTGCCTTTCCAGCGTGAATTTGTCCTTTAAGTTCGAATAAGAGTGACATGGAGAAATTCGTGAGACAAAAATGCTCTATTTTGTTCATGGAGTAGTCTACGAACTTAAAAACCATTCATCACGCATGCTCAAATATCGTATAGTATATAATAAACATAAAATCTTTTTCCTAATCACTGTGAAGGGTTTTTATGTATCTCACATATTGTTATAACTCTGAATTATATTCAG